ACTACATAAATAAACTTTGACTTGACTTGATCCCAAAGGTATTGAATTGAGCTCTATCATTCCAGAAAACACAGTTCCGCCTCTCCACAGCCCAATGCTGGGAGGTTTTATTCCCATCTAATACATGCTTGGCATTGAGCATGGTGACCTTAGGCTCAAGTGCAGCTGCTCAACAGTGTTCCATTCTGTCAGTCAGTGTTTTTCTATGGTAATGATACAAGCTGTGTGCATACAGTTTAACACCTGTGTCAGCAATGAGCGCACCACAAAGAAGAGCTGGCTGGATACTTTTAGACATACAGCGTATAAAACCAGCACTGCAGCACAGTGTGCCTATCATGTAGACATGTGAGGCAGCATTATAGAAGTCAAGTCTTCATTTAGAGCCAGTAGTAGTAATAGTGCAGACGTTTCGTATGACAACAAAAAGCCAAATATAAGCATAGAAGCATCTCATTTATCCATTTACAGAGGGGTAACAAATATTCAGACACTATTATTTGTGTTATTTGCCATACTTGCATTGCATATAACCACTTTAAATTTATACACATGATGTGTTCTGTCTTTATACTTATCAATATAAACAAAAAGCATGTATTCATAAGTATAAATCAAGATTTTAAAATAAATCTAAATTAATAGGTAAAAAAAAGAGAAACCATACTGAAAGCATATCATCACTGTCACACAAAAAAGCTTGTATTTCCATCTTTGTTGTTTTTCACTTTTTTTGTATCACTTGAAAACTACTGTCACCCTTTGCCTTGTGTTAATATTTTGTAATGAATGGATCTACAGAAATGGTCCAAATTGCTTGGAAAAAAAGCTGGTTACATTAAATTCCTTTACAAGCTAAGAATGTTTTTCCTTCTCCTGTAAAGCTACAGTTGTGATGTTAGTTTTGTTCTGACAGCGACGACATGTACAGGTTACCTAAAAGTGAATCAAGTTCTAGATATTAAAGCGGCACTTTGTAAGTATGGCAAATTTGGGGAATTGGTGACCTCTCTGGTGGAAATATGTAACTGCACAAAACGTGCAGAAGAGCATTTTGTAACCTGGGTTGTGCTGCAGACCCCTTCTCTGAGAAGATTAATCTTACTCAGATATTCACATCTCAAATGATGTCAATTTTTTTGGGACACCCTGTATATACACCTTCTTTTAGCTCATGTGTATTATGCCCTAAAGACGGCACAAGCTGCTATGTGTGGGCAATTTTTAATGGTTCAGAGCTTTTTCTCTCTTTTTTGCTCACACATCCACTATACGTCCAAAAGTTCGTAGACCTGCTCCTCAAATGAAGGGTATTAATAGGGAGTTTGTCCTCCTTTACTGCAGTAACAGTCTCTACTCTTCAGCTTTACACAGGATGTTGAACATTGCTGAGCGGATCTGATTGCATTCATCCACAAGAGCATTAGTGAGGTCAGCTACTGATGGTGGATGATCAGTTCTGGATCACTAATTCCCAATGGTTACTAAAGGTAAAACCTTATTCTCTATTCATTTTGCTCTTTTGTTGTTGTTTTACTGTCCAGTGTGGACCAGCGGAGAACGGGTTCCCCCTTTGAGTCTTGGTTCCTCTCAAGGTTTTTTCCTCTTGCTCTTAAGGAGTTTTTCCTCGCCACTGTCGTCACTGGTGACGCTCATGCAGGCTTGGACCCAGATTTTTTTGTAAAGCTGCTTTGTGACAACGCCTGTTGGAAAAAGCACTACATAAATAAACTTTGACTTGACTTGATCCCAAAGGTATTGAATTGAGCTCTATCATTCCAGAAAACACAGTTCCGCCTCTCCACAGCCCAATGCTGGGAGGTTTTATTCTCGTCTAATACATGCTTGGCATTGAGCGTGGTGACCTTAGGCTCATGTGCAGCTGCTCAACAGTGTTCCATTCTGTCAGTCAGTGTTTTTCTATGGTAATGATACAAGCTGTGTGCATACAGTTTAACACCTGTGTCAGCAATGAGCGCACCACAAAGAAGAGCTGGCTGGATACTTTTAGACATACAGCGTATAAAACCAGCACTGCAGCACAGTGTGCCTATCATGTAGACATGTGAGGCAGCATTATAGAAGTCAAGTCTTCATTTAGAGCCAGTAGTAGTAATAGTGCAGACGTTTCGTATGACAACAAAAAGCCAAATATAAGCATAGAAGCATCTCATTTATCCATTTACAGAGGGGTAACAAATATTCAGACACTATTATTTGTGTTATTTGCCATACTTGCATTGCATATAACCACTTTAAATTTATACACATGATGTGTTCTGTCTTTATACTTATCAATATAAACAAAAAGTATCTATTCATAAGTATAAATCAAGATTTTAAAATAAATCTAAATTAATAGGTAAAAAAAGAGAAACCATACTGAAAGCATATCATCACTGTCACACAAAAAAGCTTGTATTTCCATCTTTGTTGTTTTTCACTTTTTTTGTATCACTTGAAAACTACTGTCACCCTTTGCCTTGTGTTAATATTTTGTAATGAATGGATCTACAGAAATGGTCCAAATTGCTTGGAAAAAAAGCTGGTTACATTAAATTCCTTTACAAGCTAAGAATGTTTTTCCTTCTCCTGTAAAGCTACAGTTGTGATGTTAGTTTTGCTCTGACAGCGACGACATGTACAGGTTACCTAAAAGTGAATCAAGTTCTAGATATTAAAGCGGCACTTTGTAAGTATGGCAAATTTGGGGAATTGGTGACCTCTCTGGTGGAAATATGTAACTGCACAAAACGTGCAGAAGAGCATTTTGTAACCTGGGTTGTGCTGCGGACCCCTTCTCTGAGAAGATTAATCTAAACTGCTCTTTTTCATAACTGAGGGAAAAATATGAATATTACCTGCTTCACCACATAACTGATAGCTAACTAACTACAGCTGGGTAGCACATATATCCATTAGTTACAAGCCTCCACTCAGTCAGATATCTATTTAGGTAATGTTGGCAAAGCATGTTTTATATTGGTTGCGTTTACGAAAGGAGATAGATGGTAGCACTGGAAATGATCTGATGATAATGGCTGGCCAGGTTAGTCAAACAATAGAGGATGAGCTATACAGCCAAAACAACTTAACAATTACAAAGACACATTGCATTAGGCTACAAAGGTAACATTAAATTCCACAACAGTTATAATCTGGTTGGCTATTTTTTTGGTAGCTAGCTAGCAAACAACCAACGTTCAGCAATAAAAAGGCCAAATCAGCATCACTCCTGAATCCCTTCAGGTCACAGAGCTGTCACCACCTCTGAAAAGCCAAGCCAATGTGGAATCTGGTCTTAGCTTGAGCTCTGTCACTCTCTGTCAGTCTCATCTTAGCTTGGTGAATTGTGCTACCTTGTCAAAATGTCCTACCGTAGTGCATGTTTATAGTTAGCTCCATATTTAAAACCTCTAGGTAAGATATTTTGACAGCCTAAATCACCTTATCAAAAATACTACCAGCATTAAAACTACAAAGCTGAAGTCAGCGTTTTATTCGCCAGCTCATTGTTCGAGTTTTCCTGTGCCACTTTAAATGGTGCATTAGTGATAGTAACAGAATGTAACTGCTGCACCATTTAAAGTGGAAATGGAAAATTCTAAAAAGAAACTAGCAAATGTCCTTATCAGAAATTATTACCAGCATTAACTTACAACACCAAGATTTTAGTGTTTTTTGAAAAATATATGCCCATTTTGAATTTGATGCCAGCAGCCATTTCCAAAAAGTTGGGACGGGGGTATGTTTACCACTGTGTTTCATCATCTCTTCTTTTAACAACACTCTGTAAACATTTGGGAACTGAGGAGATCAATTGCTGTAGTTTTGAAAGTGAAATGTTTTCCTGTTCTTGTTTGATATAGGATTTCAGATGCTTAACAGTTCAGGGTCTCCTTTGTCATATTTTTCATTTCATAATGAGCCAAATGTTTTCAGTGGTGACAGGTCTGGACTGCAGGCAGGCCAGTTTAGCACCCAGATTCTTTTAATATGGAGCCATGCTGTTGTAAAACATGCAGAATGTGGTTTCACATTGTCTTGCTGAAATAATCAAGGCCTTCCCTGAAAAAGACATAGTCTGAATGGTAGCATATGTTGCCAAAACATGTGTATATCATTCAGTATTAATGGTGCCTTCACCAATGTGCCAGTCACCCATGCCATGTGCACTAATGCCCTCCTGTACCATCATGAATACTGGCTTTTGAACTGCGTGCTGATAACAAGCTGAGTGGTCTTTAGCCCAGAGGACACAGTGTCCATGATTTCCAAAAAGAATTTCAAATTTTGATTTGTCAGACCACCGGACACTTTTCCACTTCCCCTCAGTCCATTTTAAATTTACTCAGGCCCAGAGAAGGTGGCAGCATTTCTGGATCCTGTTTATGTACAGTTTCTTCTTTGCGTTTTAGAGTTTTAACTTGCATTTGTGGATGCAGCAACAAACTGTGTTCACAGACAGTGTTTTTCAGAAGTGTTTCTGAGCCCATGCAGTGATCTCCACTACAGAATCATTTCTGTTTTTAATGCAGTGCTGCCTGAGGGCCCAAAGATCACGGCCAGCAAATACTGGTTTTTGGCCTTGTTCCTTACGTTCAGAGATTTCTACAGATTCTCTGAATCTTTTAATGTTATTATGTACCGTAGATGATGAAAAGCAAAAGTTCTTTGCTATTTTATGTTGAGAAACGTTATTCTTGAATTGTTGCTCTATTTGATCGTGATGTCTTTCACAGAGTGGTGAGCCCCTCCTCATCTTCACTTCTGAAAGACTCCGCCTCTCGGGGATGCTTTTTTGTACCCAATCATGTTACTGACCTGTTGTCAATCAACCACCACGTGTTTTTTAGCGTTACACAACTTTTCCAGCCTTTTGTCGCCCCCTTCCCAACTTTTTTGGAATGTGTTGTTGACGTCAAATTCAAAATGGGCAAATATTTTTCAAAAAACAATAAAATTTCTCAGTTTCAACATTTGATCTGTTATTTTTGTACTATTTTCAATACATATAGGGTTTTATTGATTAAGACAAAAGACATATTTAAATTTAAAGTGGATGTGTGCACTGGACATATATTAAATAAAAAACAAAACTGACTGAGTACTTGTCCAACATCCCCCTCCTCACCCACCCCCTGTAAAAAATGTGTATAAATTAATAATGTCCACCATCTGTCCATCCTCTAATATCCCGAGAATCTTTGCCCAAAACTCACACAAACCATGAACATGAAACACAAGAGAGGGAGGAAAGTCAGCTCCAAGAACGCTGACACCCAAATGCCACTCAGTAGACAAAAGTTACAAACATGCTGGCCATCTCTGGAAGCCCTTCAGGAGACATGAAAACGTTGGGAAAGGACATCGTACCCTTGCTGTCCACCTCAGTTTTCACTGTGTAGGCTTTAAGCCCGGCCTTCCCCACCAACACAGTCGTGTGAATGACAGCTATCCTCGCTTCCTCATGGTACTGTGCGCCCATGTCCCTCCCCAGCACCACGTCATGGATCTGTCCAGGCCTCCAGAATGGATATGACACACTCAGCCTCTCCAGCCTCCGCACAACGAAGTGGTCGAGGGGTGGCAGCTTGTCCTCGGTCGGGTCACACTTGACCAGCACCAGGTGCCGAACATCTGAGTTGTTCAGCAGCCGCGCCACGTTGAGTGGTGACGTGTACCACACAGTCAACCGCTTGTATTGCACTGTACTGGGTCCATGAGCCTGCTGGGGTGGGGGGAGGTCAGAGACACAGTTATCTATGGTTGTGTATGGTCAACATTTTCCGATCTCTTTCAATTAAATTAAATAGGCTGTGTTTGTTGCTGTGTCTTTATTTGTTACTGTTAATATTAATAGTGTTATTGACAATAATTTAGATTAAGTACTAAAATTAGAGTAGACCTTATTCATCAAAGATGCATACATCAAATAAGACATTCATCAATTTCTATTTCCTAAAAGCATCTAAGTGTTAAGACCATCTTAACTGGTAGAGAGAGTGTTCAGCATGATGCTCGCTCTACCATTTCAGAATCATTACTGCGCTGATATGCTTTCGGGAAACCCAGGCCAGTGTGATACTGGCCAATAGCGGGAATCTGTTACGCATAATTAGGCAATGAGGATCTTCTCCAGTCTTAGAAGTCTCAGAATGCAAGCTTGCATCAAAGAAATTAATATATAAATATTACTGCAAATATTAATACAGAACAAATATTTGAAGTGAATCAATCATTTGTGCCAATGATGTATTCGTACTCTGGAACACCCTGACCTGCTGTGGCGTGGAGAGCGGGTGGTCAACGCAGTCACACTCGCTGGAATTGATGACGCTGCATGCTACCAGGTCCTGTGTGCACACGCAGATGAAGAGGCTGTGCTCGCGCACATAGGCCAGCGTGAACTCTCCACGCAAGAGCGTCGGCATGACCAGACACAGGACGCAGTACAGCGCTATGAAGCCTATGTGGCCCAGAAGGGTCATCATCAGAGGCAGTGGTGAGAGTGAAGGTCATCTAGAAAGGCCCTGTGTATGTCAGTAGAGATACAAGTCAAAATAGGAAAAAAAACATAATAAAAAAAAGATATTACACTATTTTAAACTACACCATTTAAGACACCATTACACCTATATGGAAAAAACATTAAATGTATTTACAAATATATTTTTGCAATGTATGAAAATGGCCAACAAATGTATTTGTTAAATGTATTTTACATGCATTTATTTATATTTGTTATTATAATGTATCAATTGTATGTAGTTTTAACAAAGCTTACAGATATAACTGAATATACACGAGCTGAATAAACAGTACTGACTTCTGTGATCTGCATTGTACTTTGCATTAACCAGGGACATCTACAGTAAGACACTCACACAAAATGTATTTCAAATAAAAACAAAGATATTAAATCAGAACTGCATTTTCACAGAGTATCAATACCTACAACACTCGATTTTGTCATGTTGAAGGTTCTTTTGCTAATATTTGAAATTAAGATACTGGAATACAAATTCATTTCAAAAAATTTTCTTATTTTTAAATGTATTTGATAAATACATTTATATACATTTATTTTGTATGGTACATTTCTATCTGTAATATTTCCCCATACATTTAAAAATACATGTATTTTAAAATATAACTGGTTAATATGGCAATATATTCTGAAATACATTTTAGTGTTTGAAATGTATTTTGGCATGAACTGCAATGTATTTGACATGTATTTCTCTCTCTCACACACACACACACACACACACACACACACACACACACACACACACACACACAAAATGCTGAACTGAAGGACAAGCTCTGACAGTCACTGGTCTCCCCTGCATTAGGCCGTAAACATTGAATTAAATCACACACACACACACACACACACACACACACACACACACATTATCTAAGCTGCTTATCCTTCTGGGCTGCAGGGGGAGCCGGAGCCTATCCCAGTGGTCAATGAGCAGACAGCAGGAAACACCTTGGACAGGTTGCCAGTCCATCACAGGTCACAACATGTATTTCAAATATATATAAAAAACCTGCCAAGATATATATGGTATATATATGGTATACCTATATATGGTATACCTGCCAAGACATGTCTATCAGGGGTGGTCTTTTCACTTGGCAATGGTAGACAGCCGCGTAGGGCCCAATGAGAGTACAAATTAAATATACTGTATGAGTTGATGTAAAATAACCTATTCCAAGATACACTGAGAAAGTTCAGGGCTAGAAGTGACCCGCTTGCTATGCCAGCCGCTTGAGTAGCGCTGGGCAGTGGTTCTCCTTCACTGCCTGTTCAATAAAAGAGCATTTTCTTGCATGCACAATGTTTCCCTCTGGTTCTTCTTCACATAGATGCTACAGTTTTTAAAAAAGAAACAGATGTTATTTGTGATTGTAGTGATTATGTAGAGGAGCTTCTTCAGTGTGATTCTGTGGATGTTGAGAGGGAAAATCATATAAAGATATTCAAGTTCAGCAGAACAAATGCAAAAAAGGGGGAGGAAAGCAAAAGTTTGTTGCTACACCCCCAAAGCTAACTTCATTTTTTCAGTCCGAACAGAGTGCTGCACAGACTCGGCAAACCAGACATATTTCTATTGTTAGTGTCAGTGTGGATATCTTCAGTGATGTAATAATTACTCAAAAATAATCTGTTAAATTACTAATTACTTTTCTAATACTGTATTGGGATTACAATACTTATTACTTCCTGGAAAAAGTAATCGTATTATTCATTACTTTACCTTTATGTTATCCTGTACCAAATTATCTCACTAATATCACCAGATACTTTTGCACATTTCTTAAAACAAGCAAAATGATCTCCCTGATATTGTGAGATCATTTTAATAAAAAATAATAGAATAACTTTAGTGACAAAAGCAGAGAAATAAATGAACTAGATTTAAGATAATCTCATTTTCAAGAGGCCCCATTCCTGTTTTTTTAGTGTCCAAAACTGGCTTCTTTAGCTTTGCACTGGGGCTATGAGGTAATAAGTAATGGATGCTTGCACCCCACCAATTAGCACTGGGCCTAAATCACACATTTGCCTCCATCCATATTAAAGGGGATGGCGGTCATAATTCATTTTTACACTGCCATTTGTGCTTCACCGTGAGTGCAGACTCTCTGCTCTGCTCTGTGGACGCACCATCAAAAAAGCCTCGTCCTCCTGACACTTTGAAGAATGGCCTGCTCCGAGCGGCGCCATGGACGGCTGGAGCGGGACGGCATTGGCCTGTCGTAACCACAGTGTGGACGGGCACTTCTGCAAATAGTAACATGGTGAGTATGAGTTCTCAGAAGAGCTCTTTAGATAATTTGGTCAATAAGCTTTCTAAATTGAGTTATGTTGCAACATGATGTGCCTCCAAATGCTCTGCTGCATGGATGTGCTCTCAGAGGTCATTAAACTTCATGAAACACCAGACTTCCTCTTGTCTTACGGATATAAAAACGCTGACATAAGTGGAACTTGTCTGCTGCTCGGTCTGGCTGAGTGTGTAGGACTGATGCACTCACCCGTCTGCATTTGTCCTACAGGCTGAATAGACGACCACTCAGTAACCAACTGCTTATTCTTCCTGGTCAACCAAACAGAACACGCACAGCTGTCCTCAATTTCCTGACTCATGTTAGGGTGTGTCCCCCACATGTGCTTGGATGGGCTCAAGATTTGGTTCTTTGCTCGATTTTGGTTCTCTACCTCATTGTCTTTCTCCGTCTGTGTGTAGTATGTTAGGGAAAACACTGAGACGATGTGAATACGGACGTTTTTCTTATGTTAATGCTGTGCGACCAGTGTCGGGGGTTAGAGCCTGAAATATTTGTTGGAATTTGACGAGAACCATCTGCTTGTGTCAGGTTCATTTTTCAAGTATGTGTCAGTCGTGGGTCAGGGTTCAGATTTCACGTTCAGGTTCTCACAGCCCACCTCCCACTTATAACAATATTTTTCCTTCATTTTCCCTGTTTTTACTCCTTAATTTATTATTCACTCCTTCCACTACATTAAATCATCTTTTCATCTGTTAAAAACAGTCCGAGTCTCACTCAGCACTGAGGTGCACGAGGCCTGCACTTGTGAGAAAACAGAATATAAACAGTGAGTCGATTAAAGAAAGTACTTTTTAGTGCAGCCAAAAGAACCTTTGGTGGAAAATATCCTTTACTCTAAAAAATGATGGTTCTCAATGGTTCTTTAGTCAAGAAAATTGATCTATAGAACCAAGAACATTCAAAGAATCCTTTGCATGATTTAAGGTTTCTTTGCATCATTAAAGAGTTCTTCCAGTTGATGGAGAATGTGCTGTACATGGTTCTATACAGAACCTTTTTGAAAAGTGTGCTATATAACACCAAAAAGCGTTCTTTCAAAAAGACATAAAACACATTACTCCATCAGTCTGAAGAATCCTTTCATGATGCAAAGAACCCTTTAATCATGAAAGGATTCTTTAAGCAAAGGGTTCTTTGAGTGTTCATGGTTCTATATAGAACCATTTTGAAAAGGGTTCTATATAGCACCAAAAAGGGTTCCACTATTGTTACAGGCCAGAAATAGTTTTAATAATAAATAGATGAAAGCTAATATTTCGCTTTAGAGTGAGAACAGAACAATATGGACATTTATCCAGATTTAACAATAATTTGAGATCATTTTATTACAGCATATTTTGTGTTGTTTTAGATTTTGTTTATTCATGATCTAATGATGGTTATGATTGTTGCTGTGTGGTAACCAGCGCTGTCCTGTCAGGGTTTATTCTGCACTTTGGTAATGGTCTGCTTAGGTCAGACACTTTGGTAATGGTCTGCTTAGGTCAGACAAAACATTTTATGTATTAGAGTGATGTGATCACTTTTTTACTGTAACAAAGTTCTGGCATTACAGATTAAATCACTGCAATCAAATTAAAATAGAAAATTAAATAAACAGTATGAATTACATGCGATGCATTTCAAAGCATAAGTTTCCTCTATATAGATTATTCATGGCTGTCCTCGTTCTTAATTTGCATGCAGTACTGAGACTGAATGAGAATGTGAACAGCTACAGAATAGATACTGTATTTTTAAGATACTGTTACTGTCTATAAACCACTCAATGGTGCAGGACCAGTATATTTATTTCATATGCTGCTGCGTTATGAGCTGAGCAGAACTCAGATCATTAGGAACTAGTCCATTAGTCCTGCTAAAGGTAAAGGCTAAACATGGAGAAGGAGCGTTTGGCTACTGTGTTGCTCTTAAATGGAACCAATTGACAGAGAGCATTAGAAGAGCCCCAATACTGGACACTTTAAATCCGGCCTGAAAGTGTTCCTATTAGAGCAGCTTTCAGCCCAGTTTAAACACTGTTAGCGTTTCTAGCCCCTTTTCCTCTGTAACAGCACTTTTTAATCCTAAGTAAATTTTTAATTATTAATTTTTGATTATTTAATTATCCTAATTTAATTTCTAATTTGATTTTTAATTTGGTGATGTTTTTTTCTTTTAAATCTATTGTTTTAATCATGTTTTTAATTTCTATTCTCGTTTACTTTTTTTAAACAACTGTATTTACTGACTCTGTATTTTTGTCATTTGTATGACAGAAGTGTATGAAAAAGTGATGTTTAAATAAACTTGGCTTGCCTTGCCAGCGTGAGCACGGGAAGCGACTTGAACTCAGCATCTTATCATGCTAAAATGCTAATATGCTAACGTTTCTTTTCTAAAAAAAGCCATGAAAGACTGTTGGATTTTCTCTTGTACAGTTGGTTCAGATGTCTCTGGGTTTTGAAGAGTAGTTCCGAGGGAAGTCATGAGTAGTGAAATGGCCTTTTCCTTAAAGTAGTAAGTAATCCATTATAATTCAAGAGAAATAGTCAGTCATTTGTAATGAATTGCTTGTTTCGAGAAACTAACCCAACACCGTGTGTGACTCAAGCGTTGTATTCTCAATGTTGACCTTGATTGCCGGTAAGCTTCATCCCATGTGCATGAATGGATTATATGGAAGCACAATGAGAGGCACAGTGAAAAGAATACATAACATAATCCATCTGAACTTTCACAACACCTTTGCGTAATCTCACAGCTTACACTTTACACAGAATCCGCACTAACACTTCCAGAAAGCTTGACGGTAATACTGCAGGGCACTTGAGCTCCTCACGTAACCTCTCCTACACTCATAAGGGATAACATGTTTCCTCAGTATCCAGCTGGGAATGCATTTCATTTCCTTAAATACAAACACAGTGATGTCACTTATATGTACTTACAGTTGCGACGACCAGCTTGAGTGAAAGAAAGACAGCAAAAAGAACGACAGAACCGAAAAACAAAGTACTGCCTGGTAAGAGAAATGTCCGACACGAGTTCTTTTCCCAGTCTGAGGATCTTACAGACTGAGGGGGAATGCAAAGTTTCCAGAGGACTCAGCAGTGAATCAGCAGTGCTTGCCAAAGCCACAGGCAGTGTCCTCAGCATCTTGCTATGCGTGACCACTCGAGCCAAGAGGGAACACATTAACCACAGATGGAACAGTGTGAGGTAGTTGCTTATAAACATGAGGTCAGTGAAGATCATTCAAAGCATCCACCCAGGCAGAAGAGTCTCTGGATTATTGAAAGGACAATCAGAAAACATTCAAATGTGGTGTAAAGTCACAGTGTGAGTTTAAGAAAGTGCTCAGTCTAAAACAGCTGCTGTCATGTTTGCAGCTGTGGTTCAGCCCCACCATGCGAGAGCGGTGGAGTTGGGCCAATCTGATAAACAGGCAGCTGTGTTGTTTTGATTATGAGCTAACGCGAAGGTACAACACAACGATATCCTACGGAAAGCTCTATGGGGGCAGAAATGGGCCGGAATGGGAGTAAAAGTCAGGATGGTGCAACATCCTGGCACACATTTAGAAAATCTCAGCAACTAGGTAAACTGCGTGTAGCTGATTTTCTTTGTTCTAAAGTCAGTGCATGAAGCAAAGTGTTCAATGAATGCACATCAAGTTCAGCCTACAGCCCATGCAGCCAATAGAAGGTCACAATGCTGCAGCAGGGTCCATATACCCAGTCTCCATGGTAATGTATAGTAGCGCACACTGTGTGTTTGGAATGTTAAAGTAGCCGAGAAACTAAAAGTGGTGTTTCGCTTTCTAAGTTCCTCAAAACTTGGTGGCATTTGTTTGGATATCTACAGAGGGGAACCCTGAGGGCCTTCTAGGCCTTCAAAGAAGACTTCATGATTTCTGAGAACTCAATAGTACAAAGTCTGTAATGGTATTTTCTCTCAATAGAATCATGTCTGTACTTGAACTCGACTCTCGTTTTTCATTGTTAAGTTTTGGAAATAAAAGGGTTGAACTGGTTGGACAGTAATTTTCTGAAACTACATGCAGACGAAACTGAAATCTGTTTAGTCGGCCCTAAAATGGTTTTTAGGTTTCTGGCTTCTCCAATCTCACTGTGAATGTAGATCAGTTGTAGATCAGAACCAGTTCAAGTCAGTAAAAAACTTGGATTCATTTTTAATTCACCACTTTGATTTGAGCCCCATATTAAGTCACTTACTAAGACTGCATTCTACCATTTGTGTAGCATTGCATGCCTCCACCCTCTGCTCAACAATACTGATGCCAAAATACTGGTTAACGCCTTCATTTTCATGATTATTGAAACTCCCTCTTCAATGTTCTCCCTGTTAAATTGCTCAACTGGCTTCAGTTCATTCAAAACACAGCAGCCACCCAGCAAGCACAGGACATCAATTCAACATCAGAAAGATGTTGGACTCCGACATTAGACAGATGTTGAAGTTTAGTTGGAAATGAAAACCAGGCCGATGTCAAAACCCAACGTTGGCTTGACGTCACCCTCCGACGTTGGACAGATGTTGAATTTTAGTTGGAAATGAAAACCAGGCCGATGTCAAAACCCAACGTTGGCCCTGACGTCACCCTCCAACATTAGACGGATGTTGAATTTTAGTTGAAAATGAAAACCAGGCTGATGCCAAAACCCAACGTTGGCTTGACATCACCCTCCGACGTTGGACAGATGTGTAATTTTAGTTGAAAATGAAAATTGAGCTGACAACAAAACCCAACGTCCTCATGATGTACAGCGCACACTTTGTTTTGAGCTTGTTTTGATCTGTTGGACATGCCGACCCGGTGCAAGCACACGGTTCAATGTCAGAGCAGCAGCGTAAAATTTTGGAAGTGCCTATTCAACATAAATGATGAACTAACCTAACTTTGTGTAAATAGACCACAATATAGAAATATGTACTCATATGCAGTTGTGACTGACGTGTCTTTTTTCTGAATTTATACAAACACATTTCATTTTATAGTAAATTAGTTTTGGCTAGTTTATGTTTATGATCAGAGACCTACAGATGCAGTTTAGTACAGGAAAACTCATTTGTTAATCTGAGTTTAAAGCAAGTTTTTATAAACTTAAACTTGTAATTAAGTTGCATTAAGTTAATTAATCTTTTAGTCCTTTTACTTTTGATACTTAAGTACATTTGAAGGCAAATACTTTTGTACTTTTACTCAAGTGGAGGTCTAAAGGGAGGAACTTCTACTTTTACTGGAGTAATATTTTACCTTGGGTATCTCTACTTTAACTCAAGTACATGATTTGTGCACTTCGTCCACCACTGCACTTTATCCAGTGGAGCATGCAGGGTGTGTGAGGCGTTGTCCAAGATGGCTAACAGCTTGTTGAGCGTCCTTCGTTCTGCCACAACCTCCAAAGAGTCCAGCTTGACTCCAACAACAGAGCCAGCCTTCCTAAGCCTATCAAAGTGGCGTCGTCAGATCTGCCTGTACAATGAGCACACGCAAACTTCTCTGACAGTTTTGTTAGTCATCAGTTTCATATTTGCTGTATTTGGCTGCCTTTCAAACATGAGGCAATAAATAAATAAATAAATACTACAAAAATAGATGTACAAGTTTTTATTTATGACAGTGACAACAACACACACTGCCTTACTGCTGTGGGGTTTTGAGACGCTACACTGAGATTGGCTTTACAGTTTTTGGCTAAACAGGCTGTGAGTGCTGCCTCCCTCCCTACTGAACAGAGAACTTGGCTGGACACGGTGGTGCCTGAGTTCCTAAGCATGATCACCGTTTCTCTCGAAAGGTACAACCGTTTCATCCTGTCTTGATGTTTTGTCGGAGTCCAGGCTATTTTTGTGCAGAAGCTCGCGCCTTGACCTCCTCAAAAGACAGTGTTGTCTGCCAGCACTCTGAGTCTGATTAGATTGTATGACATGACCGCGTCCACAGGCCTTTTTTCCTGTTCAGCTCTGTGCCAGTGTCACATAAGTACCTGCAATACCTGCCCCTCGCCACGAGAGGTCTTCCTCTGAGGAGTCCTGGCCTCGTCACCACAGCTCCTCATGACTGAACTCAACTGTTCCTCATCGCAGCTCCCTGCTCTCCACGTCAGGCCTGCTGGACGACTCAGTCATTGTGAAACTTGGTTGGGGTTTGTGTTACTTGTGTTTCTGAGCTGTGGTCTGTAGTTTTGCTCCTGTATGACTCATGACTCTCGGCTTACCGCTTTGTTTTTGGGCCTCGTGTTACACACAGAAGTAAAATAATAGACACATTAGCATGTTTTTTAAGCCTCTGCTTTGAAGGCAAGAACTCCAAAAGAATCAAAATGTTCAAGACTGTCTCATTTATTCATACCATCATCAGTGCCAGGTTACAGTGTAGTGATGAGTAAAGCACAACCTAATAATTTAAATTTTACTAATTCATTTTAACAATATTTGAGCAACATTAATATTGTTAATATACATGCATTCTGCACATCTCTGCAGCAGATGAAGAAGTGAACTTTGTTTCTAGCTTCTACCACGTATGAGCAATGAAGCCAAAAGTGATGCAAATGTTAAAGATAAACTCAGAGGATTAATTGTAACTGTCGCTAAAAAGAAGTAAATCGATTTAAACACAATTCAATCTGATTCTGGGTTGTCTGACATGGAGAAACTTTTCAAGATAATTATATAAAACATATTCATCAAAATAAAAACGAGTAGTGAAAAAAAATGTTTTTGACCACAAGATAGAACAGAAATTATTTACATGATGTTTGTAGTGCTCCATGTAGAAAAGTACACTATATGGACTAAAGTATTGGGACACCTCTACTAATTATCAAGTTCAGGTGTTTTAGCCACATCCATTGCTAACAGGTGTATTAAATTAAGCACATTGTCTGTTGAGACTGCAAGGCTAACACTGGCAGTAGAACGGGTCACACTGAAGAGTTCAGTGACTTTAAATGTGGCACTGTCATTGGATGCCGCCTCTGCCCACAAGTCAGCTTTTTTGTTTTTCAGACGTTGGCCTAGAACCCTTAGTTCCAGTGAAATCTTAATGCTTCAGCAGACCAAGACATTTTGGACAATTCTATGCCTCCAACTTTGTGGGAACCTTTTCTGTTCCAGCATGACTGAGCCCCAGTGCACAAAGCAGCTCTATAAAGGCCTGACTGGGTGAGTTTGGTGTGGAAGAACTTGACTGGCCCTCACAGAGTCCTGACCACACCCCCATCGAATACCTTTGGGATGAACTAAAACAGAGATTGTGAGCCAGGCCCTCTCGTCCAACACCAGTGTCTGACCTCACTAATGCTCTTCTGGATGAATGGACAAAAATTCCACAGACTCTCTCCAACATCCTGTAGAAAAGCTTCCCAGAAGAGTGGAAGCTGTTAGAGCTGCAAAGGGGGACCAACTCCATATTAATGCCTATGGATTTAGAATGGGATTCATAAAAGCTCCTGAAGGTGTAATGTGTAGGTGTCCCAATACTTTTGTCTATATAGTGTATTTTAAAATGTTTTTAATTTATAAAGGAAGGTTTGGATTTCTTAGTTTTTTTAATGATTTTTAATGACATTTTATGATTTGTACTTTTTCCTAATAACAAACAGGCAACAGAACTAAAACAATCAACAAGTCGCATGTGGCTCTTTTACTGTCCTGTTGTGGCTCCACAGCAGAATTAGATCTGTAGGTAAAAATAAAATAATCCTCCTTTACAGTAAAATAAAGCTCTGCTGATCGTTCAACACAGTTTAACAATAAATGGTCTTAAACTCTGGAGTTAATGTAGAACTGCTAATTCACCCTTTAACCCTGAAGGTTGTCGCGCAGACTGCTGGTCACCATAGCAACACAGACAGTAGTCTCGCCCAGCTAGTAGCTAACGAAAAGGCAAAGAGAAAGATTTAAGACAAACATCGATAATTTAGAGATGAATGGACTTATTTGCATTTATTTCCTGATACGTTTAATCTGCAACGAGAATCTGACAAACACTAAAAAGCCGCGAAGCTAAAATCAGTTTCTCGCTTGCCAGCTTCTTGCTCGAATTTTCACGTTCCACCTTA